CTCTCCAACCTTCTCCAGAAACTCAGCGTTTCCTCCACACAGGCTTGCAGGCTAACCGGCACCGTCAGCTCACACATGAAAGCCTCCTCGTACCAGCAGCAGCTCTGTGATCACTTACGCAGACACACGGGAAACAAAGCAGCAAGCTAAACAAAAAACATGATAAAGCAGGGACGAGGATTCTGCCACAGTCAGGAGCTCATTTTGGATTGTGAAGAGTCAGAATGTTCATGCTCATAGTCATCATCCAGTGGAAACATCCAGGCTCTTAATCAGCACACAGACTCTCAGAGCAGAGCGAGGAGCGAGGAGCGAGGAGCGAGCTAGATGTGACAAAAACCTTGTTTCGAGCTCTGCACAACGAATCTCAGAGTAAACAAACCCCTCACAGCCTCTGTGCACAGCGTCTGCAGGAGGCCCGGTGACACAGCGGGGCCTAAACGCCCCACCACCACCCAAAAAGTCCCTCATTCATCACGTTCACTCTTTGGTGCGTAGTAGGTGCTGCTCAGGGTACTTTTGGTGACCAAACAGACGCACACACACACACACACACACACACACACACCCGGTGAGGGTTACTCACCCGATCAGGGAGACCATCTGCTCCACTATGTGCTTACTGAAGGTGATGATCACAAACAGTTTCTGTGTGACAAAGAAGCACACGGAGGAAGAACACGTTAGTCGTTGAAGCGTGAGGTCAGTAATAGCAGGAAAACATTATAGTTTGACCGGTAATCCTTTAATAGCTGCTTTCTCACACAAACACGACTCAGTTTCCCCGATCACGTGTGACACAACCAACAAGGTTTGGTGTGAAAGCAGAAACAAAGGCAAGAAATCAGAGACTGTGACACACGTCAGCGTATCAGCTCGCTGCCATTAGAAGTCGGTGTGTAACGTATGACCGAGACATGAAGGGTCAGAGATGTGTCATGGCTTCGGGGGGGGGGCTGGATCCGGCTCCTGTCCAGATTCCTGCTGAGTCACCAGTACAGACAAACAGGCGACTGCCGGTCAGTCCAGCTTTTATCTGCCTGCTGCAGGTTTGGTGGGAGGGGCATGCAGACAATAATTGACCACTAATTTTTCAAGGTCCTTCAGTTATTGTCTGTTAGTGTGTTCTTCTAAGAGAGCGCGTGTTTGTTCCATCCACTAACCTCTCGCCATGAGGAAGACTACAGCAGCCGAGCCGTCATTACAAACTCGTGTTTGTTGTTCAAACACACAGAAACTGAGACACTAAATATAAACTGAAGATTATCAGGGAGAGATATGCACCAGCATTTTCTATATCAGGTAATGACGGAGAGCAGCGCCGTCAACTTAAATAAGAACTATTTAAAAACAGAGTCACAATTTGCAGTGATGTTGAGTGTGCTGACCAATCGCACTATTCACCTCCAACACCATTTGGAAAATATAAATGTGCTGACAAAACCATGGCAAATACACAAAGATCAATCATGTGATAGGTGGAAACAATTTTTTTAAAGCGCTCGGCCACGCTGTGAACGTGATCAGCTGATCAGCTGTTTGACTTAACCTCAGTGTTCATCCTCGGAGCATCACAGGAGGAGAAACTGAACCACTGACAGGCTCGCAGTCAAAATGTTACATGTTACAAAATAAATACAGAAATATAAATAACTGTCACAACTTTAGAAGAAA